CCTAATTTGAGCCTATATAGGTGTTGGGGGACTAAGTTGTTTAGTTAGCCGCCTCCCTCATATGTCTTGTATGTAAAATAGTTTGTAAAGTAATTACATAACAGTATCATATACCTCAAAATTGTACTTACATACTGACTCTCTATGAGCTCTCCATATACAGTTCAATGGAAGGTCAGCTTTGTCAGTATGAAGTTTCCATAATAAATGAAACTCACAGAATCAGTCTATTGATTTGATGCAGATTAGAAAACCCCTGTGTCTGTGTGTGTGTGTGTGTGGTGTGTGTGTGTGTGTGTGTGTGTGTGTGTGTGTGTTGTGTGTGTGGTGTACTGTTTTGGATATATGATCATAGATAGTGGGTAGTGTCTAAGCCTGTGTGTACATTGCACCAATAAAACAGGCTATGCAGTGCTAATGACAAAACAGATTAAGATTCAATGATTAAAAGAAAACGTGGACAAAATAGACATAAAGGCAACAAAAAGGATTTTTTATATATTACTGAGGGTCTTGATATAAACCATTATGACTATGTTGATGGCATAAAGCACAATAAAATAGTTATGATAAAACCAAACTCAGCGGTATTGAACAGTTTTTGGGTGCAGTACCAGAAGAAAAGTGTTGTTTGCAGCTTGTATGTTGAAAAGATGAAAAAACGATTTCAGCATCAATCAACCCCTTGCTCAAAACACAATCAATGCTTATTTGGTTTTTGGGTCTTAAAAGAAACATTCTCATGAAGCACACAAAGTACAACTCTGCCCCTGGCAATGATAACAAATGTAGAGCTGGTAAAAGAAAAAAAGGAAAAAAAATAGTTTTTCATTAATAGTCTGCAGATAAAGTCTTTAACTTATAAGCTGGACCACAGCTCGATGTTTGAGGTGGAGAAAAGGGAAATATGTTGCTACATGATGATATAACAGTAATGCAGCTCTAAATGTAGCTCTATGTCTCTCTGGGTTAAAGATGCATCAGAATTTTATAAGTAGTATTTGCAGGATGCAAAGGGTTGGGACACAAACACACACATGCACACGTTTATTGCCTGCCCTGTTATGTTATACAATTAGGCTTGACTATG